TAACAAGCCTCGATACATTTATGTTATGCGCAATCCCAAAGATGTGTTTGTGTCCATGTATCATCACCTCCACAACATGCCTTACTCAGTGGAAATTCCCACGTGGGACGAGGCCTTCAAACGTCTTATCAATGGAAATAGTAAGTAGAGCCCCTTTTTTTGCTGTACATAAACATCTGTGGCAGAAGGCGTCGTATAAACACATTAAAGGCACAACATATACACCTACACTTGCCTAATACAATCTTATAAAAGTATGACATTTATAAATCTTTGAATGGGAAGTGATTTTCATGCAAGCCAACATACCGTAATGGACAAGGCCCAACCCCACGTAAGAATATGATAAAAAGACAAAATTAAGACTGCCGACGTTGACCAGTATTAAGGCATCCATGCCAAGATTGGCGATTCGCAGAGCGCATTCTCATTAGTGACGCAAACCAAAACCAAAACAACACAACAAGTCATCAAAACAACGACAAAAATTTATAAGGAACCGGCGAGAAATGAAGATAAAAAAAGACAGACTTTAAGTAAGGGATACTGACGCAACTGAGACGAATGGTTTGAACCTTGATGACTGGTTGAGGGGCTGCGGCGAGTTTTCACAATCAATCACCGATAATGTCTTGAAAAACAACAACAACAGTGAATTCCCGGTTACTTCTGATCCTCGACTGGAAAGGCATTCACGCCATCAACGAATCACAATGAGTCGAAAAACTCTAATACATTCGGAAATGTAGCGTCCACCATCTTTTAAAACTTAAAATTAATCAAGTTTGATCGCTAGGACGAAGGAAATGTAAGGAAATGTAACTAGAAAACTTGTGCGTTCTCAAAAGAACCTTCTCTTTTTCTACGGTGCAGTTCAATATGGTTTGCAGTTTGATCACGTGTTAGGCTGGTGGAAGCAAAGAGACGATCCCAACATTTTGTTTCTTACGTATGAGGACAGAATAAAGGTAAGAAACCGTACTGAACCATTTATGGATCTTGAACCCCAAGTAATCGATTTAAAGCATCCTCCATTAAGCTCCAACGATCGATTTTCTTACTCTTTGTAAGAAATTTATGAAAAATTTGCTGCGGCAGT